TCTGTCCTCAAGCAGCTGCAGCTGTTTTCAGTGGTAAAAGTTCAGAGAAACCCAAGCACCAAACAGCAGACGGACACAGTTAGAGATTTGCTGGTGAGCAGAGCTGGGCCTTTTGTGTCTGTGTCTTCTGGATTACACTAGCGCTTGATCACTGCCTCTCGGCTTCTAATATGGACGCACTAGCCACCGGGGCTCCCTTTAGCGTTGAATACTTTTACCCAGGTCAACCGTGGTGGTAAAGCATGTAGGATGCAGCCTCCTCTGTCAGAACGGAAGTCATCCACACCAAACACAACCACAACTTTATGACAGTGTGGAGACTTATTCACTTAAGATTTTGAGCTCTGGACCAAAATGTGAGTTGCAACTGTCCAACGTCCCCGTCCAAAACACACTAACATTTGACAAAAAGAGTAGCCTTTGTGTGGGATCTGGAGGGAAAAAAATCTGTACATTCAGTGATGCAGCATAATTACTTTTCACAGTTCGGTATCATAGCCATCTTCCAGGGGTCTTGGCAAGAACAGCCTCCCCTTCAACCCTGCCCTCTCCTTCGCCGTGTCCTTCCACAGATCGGATTGTAGAGTAAGTGGCAGTTGGTGCAGCTCTCTATGCGTGCAGGAGTGCTAATGCCAGGACCCCACATGAATAATGAGAACCCTGTGCAGCGGCCCAGCTGCTCCTGTCAGGCCCCGGCGCAGCTAAAGCCAAACAGCAGGCCCCCTCACATTCTGCTCCGATAACACACTTTGTCATCGTCCAGCCACACAGGAACACGGCCAATCACAACTGACCACACCGCTGCTCATCTGCTTCCTGGCCAGCCCGACCGTGGAGGTCACTCGGGCAGACGGCTGTAAGGCCAAGGATAAGGCTGGTGGGTTTGAGTGGATAACCTCTCAATGAATGAAAGTCAAAGTATTAGTTGGAGAAGAGACAACCATTACCAAGATTTTTTGTTTATTAAAACGTGGGCGTTATCATATAGCTGTGGGTATAGTTTCTATCAGTTATGATTCTATTGCATTCCCTAAAGAAGTGTTGGGATCTAACTTGTTTTCTAAGCCAGTGCATGCTTTAAGTAGACTAAAAATATAGGGTTTATCTCATCCGTTAATATTAGCCTTTTTCACACAAACAATCAACGTAAAATCTCCCATTAACTTGGCTGTAATCGACTCCAGGTTACAATAAATCGGTGGAAAGAACGTATACGTACATAAAGTATAAACATACATACAATTCAGTTTCTCTTAACAACCCCACTAGTCACTTCTTCCCATTTGCATGTTACTCTGAAAAATCAGACCTTAATGTTATGCATATAAAAACCTATTCACTAAACTTAAGCATTAAGCAGACAGCTCGTCTTGATTTGACCAATGACAGAAGTGAGTGTGATCGGCCTCGACTGACAGAAACTGTCATAACCTCATGACTCCAGGGCTATCGGAGCAGAGTGAGTGGTGGGCACATCAACACACCGCCAAGCTTCTATTTGAGACCATGTTGAGAGAAAACGACAAGATATCAACCATCTCACTATTGGCCGGAGGGTGTGATGGACAGCTGTGTATCGGAACTCTGAGTGAGAGAGGTTGTGAGGTTAGATAAAAAAAAGTGTATATTTCTAAACTGGGTTTTATGACAATACACAAATACTGCAAATGTAATGAAATTAGAAAATACCATAAAAGATGAATAATTCTCCCAAATTTGTTTTGAAATGATTGTGATCTCACGCGGCTGGTGGATTTTTCAGGAATCAGGAAACATTTATTGCCATAATATGTCAGACATACAAGGAATTTGACTTGGCGGTTGATGCGCAACAGCAGACAGTACGACAAGACAGTGCACGCAAAATAAAAAAATAATGCTATGGGTTAATAGTATAAGGCTATGGGCTGGTTTAAAATAAAAGTTAAAGTTAAAAATATTTAAAAAATAAAGTGCACCAGCGAACAGGAAGTGACAAAAGTGAGTGAAAAGTGACAAGTGTAAGTGACGTGTGCGGTGTGAAAGAAAGTGACCGGTGGAATGTCAGAGTCAGTCAGTGGGGGACCGGGCTCTGTTGATGAGCCCGACTGCCAGCCTCCTGCCAGATGGGAGGGGCATAAACAGGTTTTGTCCAGGGTGAGAGGGGTCGGCTACAATCTTTTTAGCTTGCTTAAGGGTCCTAGAAGCGAACAAGACCTGCAGGGAAGGCAGATTGCAGCCGATCACCCTCTCTGCAGAGCGGATGACACGCTGCAGCCTGCCCTTGTCCTTGGCTGTTGCTGCAGCGTACCAGACGGTGATGGAGGAGCAGAGGATGGACTCGATGATGGCCGTGTAGAAGTGGACCATCATCGTCTTTGGCAGGTTGAATTTCTTCAGCTGCCTCAGGAAGAACAACCTCTGCTGAGCCTTCTTGGTGATGGAGCTGATGTTCAGCTCCCACTTGAGGTCCTGGGTGATGATGGAGCCCAGGAAACGGAAGAAATCCACAATAGTGACGGGGGGGTTGCATAGGGTGATGGGGCTCTGTTCTTCCTGAAATCCACAACCATCTCCACGGTCTTTGAAGCGTTGAGCTCCAAGTTGTTTTGGCTGCACCACGACACCAGATGGTCAGACTCCCACCTGTAGGCCAACTCATCCCCACCAGAGATCAGTTCAATAAGGGTGGTGTCATCCGCAAACTTCAGGAGCTTGACGGACTGGTGACTGGAGGTGCAGCTGTTTGTGTACAGGGAGAAGAGCAGAGGGAAAGAGGGAAGAACGCAGCCTTGGGGGGAGCCGGTGCTGATGGTCCGGGAGGCTGAGACATGTTTCCCCAGCTTCACATGCGGCTTCCTATCGAACAGGACATATGTGATCCACTTGCAGGTGGAGTCGGGCAGGTGCAGCTGGGAGAGTATGTCCTGTAGCAAAGACGGGATGATCGTGTTGAAGGCACGTCCATATACAGGATCCTGGCGTAGGTTCCTGGGGAGTCCAGATGCTGGAGGATGTAGTGGAGGGCCATGTTGACAGCATCGTCCACAGACCTGTTGGCTCTGTAGGCGAACTGCAGGGGGTCCAGGAGGGGTGGGACAGGACTAGCCGTTTCTTCAGTAGACATCCCAGTATGATTCAATGCATAAAGAGGGTATCAAACATGCATTGTTAAATATTTAACATTTATTCCAACAGTTTAACATAAGGACATCTTATTTAAACAATTCAGTATACGAATGAATATATATATATATATATATATATATATAAAACAATATTCAGAATATGATATAACCACCATATTGTAACTATTATTTATATCCAATATAATTATCATATAATATATTAAAAGATAAATATATTAAATATATTTTTATCAAATCTATTAGAACATATATATATATATATATATATATATATATGATCGAGATGCCCCTATGAACCTGACAGCCAATCAATGTGTTGAGGAAAGACCAACTCAAAACAACCACAGAACTTGAGATAAAATGTGCCTATTTTCATCCACGTTCTGGTCACGTGTGCGTCGCAGCTGCGTAGCGATGTTAACTGCGACGTCATGCGCATGGTGCACAAATGTACGGCGTTACCATGTAGCTAACTAAACATCCCAGGTGTAGAAGTGGCCAAACCTCAATGTATTTTAGGATGCCAAAATTACTCATTATTATCATTACTCATTAACATCAGTGATTGGCTAACTGCTTCTTAGACCCGCCGCTTTGGGACCGTGCCTGAGCCCAGGTGAGGCAAGTGGAGAGGACGTGCAGGAAATAAGCTTTTTTTCATCGCTCATGATGGGGCCATGCCGGCTTAGTTAGGTTGTCTTAAATTGATGTGCATGAATTGACATCATTATTAAATAAAAGGCTGTGAAATTGAGGGCTATTAAGTAAAAATATGTATTTTCTGATACTAGCACCAACATATCTGTTGTAACAGAAAGCACAAAGCTGCAACAGGGTTATTTATCTGCAACAATACATCTAATCATTTACACAGTTAAAGACAAATTGTGGAGAACTGGAATACGTAATGTAATTGAAGGATAATAACTGATAAAATAAAACCTTAATTCCTTGATATCATTAACTGTAAAAGAAAGCCAAAAATAAAATACTTTAATTCAGGATTACGATTCTTTAATTATAAGAAGCTTGTTCTACAGTCACAGTCAGCAGATTGTGGGTGGGCATGGCAACCTACATTCTCCTGAAGAATTAATTCCCAGTTAAGATGGTTTCTTCTTAACCAAGACGGAAATATAAACGTGTATGAGATTAAAAATTGTTTGCCGAACGCCTCAATTGCCCATAAAATTACCCTTTCAACATCGAAGCTAATTCTTTATATGTAAACAGTTGTTTTCAGTAACAGTGAGTGGAACCAACCAAAAACACTCAAAAACTTGGAGACAAATTTGGGCCCCCGGTCAGAAACCACTTCCAACAGGAGGCCATGTAAGCGAAAGACGTGATCCACGACCGCCAACGCTGTCTCCTTGGCTGAGGGTAGTTTGGCCAAGGGAATGAAATGAGCCGCCTTCGAGAACCGATTCACCACAGTTAAAACTACTGTGTTACCCTGGGAAGGTTGGAGGCCGGTGACAAAATCTAGGACGATATGGGACCAGGGTCTCGACGGAACTGGCAGCGGTTGAAGTAACCCATCTGGGGGTCGATTGGAGGTCTTACCGGTGGCACAGACCGAGCAAGCCAAAACAAAACTGCATGTCCCGAGCCACCAAAATCGTTGCTTGACTAAAAACTTAGTTCGACTGACCCAAGGATGACAAGCCACATTAGAACAATGCCCCCAGTGAATGACGTCGGGCCCGAATAACCGCTTGGGTGGGCACGTGACCGGAGGTGTGGTCCCTTCTAAGGCTGACAAGACATTCGATTCGACCTCCCATCTGAGTGTGGTGACAAATAAGGTCCCGGGTAAGATGCACTCTGGGATAAGTGGGCGTAATGCGCGATTAAAAAAGCGTGCTTAACCTTCTCAGGATCCATGCGCATTCCCTCAGTCGACACGAGGTACCCTAGGAAAGGACCAGACTGAGCATGAAAAACGCATTTCTCAGCTTTGACGAAAAGCCCATTCTCCAGCAAGCACCCGACGGACGTGGTGCACGTGTTCCTGGAGGGAAGAAGAAAAAAAATGTGTCATCCAGGTAGACTTATATGAACTGATCGATCATATCTCTCAGTAAGTCGTTGACCAGTGCTTGGAATACCGCTGGGGCGTTGGACAGCCCAAAGGGCATGGCCAGGTATTCAAAGTGCCCCCTGGGGGTATTAAAAGCGGTCCTTCATTCATCCCCGTTCCTGATGCGGACCAAATGATATGCATTACGTAGGTCCAACTTAGTGAAGATTGATGCTCCCTGCAACCTCTAAGGCTGAAGACATGAACGGCTAGGTGTTCAGCCCCCGGTAATCAATACAGGGTCGCAGGGAGCCCTCCTTCCTCCCCACAACCCCCCCCCCGCCCACGCTGGAGAAGAGGAATGGTGGATGAACCCTGCTGCTAGAGAATCAGAAATATATTTCTCCAATGCTTCCCTCTCTGGAGCTGAAAGTGAATATAGCTTGCCCTTAGGCGGAGATTTATCAGGTAATAACTCAATAGCACAGTCATAAGGGCAATGCGGGGGCAGGGAAGCAGCCCGAGACTTACTGAACACCTCCCTTAGACAGAGGTACTCTGCGGGCACGCTAGACAAGTCCACTGCCTCCTCCTGGAACACAGACAGAAACAGACGGACAGGCAGATACCAGACAGGACTCATGACATCTACTGCTTCACTCAGACTTCTGCTGCCAGTCTATCTTGGGGTTATGTTGGGTGAGCCAGGGATGTCCCAGAACTACGGGAGCAAGCGGAGAGTCCAGGACATAAAAGGGTCTCGGAGGGTCTCTGTTGCCTGAGGTGATTAGTGTCATGGGTCCGGTGGTGAGCAAAATGTTGGGTAAGTCTTGACCGTTTAGTGCGTGCACCGATATCTTGTGGGTGAGTGGTAGAAGGGGAATATTAAGCTTGAGTGCAAGGGCATGGTCCAGAAAACTACCTTCGGCTCCGGAATCCACCAGGGCTTGACAGTCGTGCATGTGGGTTGACCATCTCAGTCTTACCGGAAGGAACGTAGAATTTGATGAGGTCTTCTCAGCGGAGATCCTACCCGACCGTAGCCTCAAACCTCCTGCCGGGCTTTGTCTTTTACCGGGCAGTTGTACGCGTAATGTCCCGCTGCTCCGCAGTACAAGCAAAGGCCTTGGGACCGCCACCTCACCTCCCGGGAAATCCAGGCTCTCCCGACCTGCATAGTCTCGTGATTGTAGCCGGAACTGACCGTGTCCCTGCCGCTGAACCGCCGATCCTCTCCTCCACCAGGAATCCGGCTGGGCCCAGAACGCTGCGCAACTCTGGATAGTCGTGCATCCACCCGAAGTGCCAGTCCAATTAGGTCGTTCAGGGTTGTGGGAAGGTCCAGGGCGTAGATCTCCTTCTGGACCCGGTCAGCCAGCCCATGCAGGAACATGTCCCACTGCACCTCCTCGTTCCACCAACACTCGGCCGCCAATGTCCTGAACTCAATAGAGTAATCCGATACCGATCTCTCACCTTGTCTAAGGTCAGCGAGCGTCCTGGCCGCCTCCCTGCGAAGAGGGTCCTTGCAAAAGTTGGACTTGCTGGTGAGTTCGGACACCTGCGCCATCAAAGCCTGTACAGCTCGCCCGGTGTCATTCAGGTGTCTCTCTTGAGCCTCCATGCGGTTGAGGCTGCTATTCAGGAATGCCTCCATAGAGAACGAGGGCTCACTCGCTGCTTCTCTTGCTTGGTCCGATCGCTCTGTCATGATCCTAAAGATGCGGAAGCAGATATGCGAGTGAAAACAAAGTTTATTATGTCAGAGTCAATAATTGCAGTCCCCAAGCTCCCGAGATCCTCCTGGTGGTGGGTGGCGCATGGACGGGGTGGTCAGCCCGTTGCCCGGGGAGAGGGATGATGATGAGCCCAGAGGTAGAGAGATCCGGCAACAACGAACTCAGGAACACAATACGAAGCAGGAGACGGGAACGCCGACAGGAACACGACACACACGGGATACATCAAACAACAATCTGACAATGAGAGGAGGGACACTGTGAGAGTCTTATAGGGTGGCCAAACGAGCTACAGCTGGCACGCAAAGTGTGATCAGCTGTCCTGTTTACGCTGGGCTGCTAACTCCGCCCACTTCACACACCCCCACATAACACAACGAACACACGAGACAAGGAGAGGGCGCTGGAGTAATGAACCGTGACATTTATATTTACAGTTTATGGCAGCGTAAGGTTGTACTTAATAGTCCCCCGAAGTATCATTACCTGCTCTGACACTATGTTGGAACCACAGCTACATTTGTAAGATATGATAAGATAGTCCTCAGGACTCAGGAATCAGGAAACATTTATTAGCCAAAATATGTCAAACATACAAGGAATTTGTCTTGGCGGTTAGTGCGCGACAGTAGACAGACAAGACAACAGTGCACAAGTAATAAAATAAAGTGGAATGAAATGCTAATGCAATGGGTTAGTAGAATAAGGCTAAGGCTATGGGTTAGTATAAAACAAGGGAATGAAGTTAAAAAAAAATTAAATATTAAAAAGTTAAAAAGAAAAATATTAAGCATAAAGTGCACTAACGAACAAGTAACAGACAAGAGACAAAGTGACAAAGTGATGAATTGCAGTTAAAGTGTGTCACGGCTCCTCCTCGGCCTTGCAGGGGCGGTTCCTCCTGCAGGCAGAGGAGGGTCTTTAGCGATTGGAGCCACCTGGGCTCTAGGTATAAGAAGGCCTCAAACCACTTCTCTCTTGTCTCTCTGCTCCTCCAGGTATGATCCTGTTTTGTTTGTTCCTTTAAAGGTTTTACGTTGTTCACACTCAGTCATGTTTACACATACAGATTCACTCAACCATCCACCTTACATACACCTTACACTATGACATTCGCACACCTCATTCCTTTTCTTTGTTTAAAGTTATTAGTTTTTGATTTATAATAAACTCTTCTTTTGATTGGCCTATACTTGGTGTTTGTGTCCCCTCATTCTTGCCACAGGCTATGAGCCGGCCTGTGACAAATGGGGGCTCGTCCTTAAGTTAAAGTTAATTATACTTTAGTCGTTAGTATTTGAGTATTCTAATAGTTTGCCTTATTTGGTTAAGGTTTTGTCTAGATTGTTTTGGCTTTGTCATTGATTATATTTGTTTACTTGAAGTTTGGTTCATGTTGATTATTGTTTTGTAGTTAACTTGGGTTAATCATGTTAGGTTAGATTGCCAAACTTTTTGTTTGAGGGGATGCTTTAGTTTGGCCAATATTGTTGGAGAGAGCATTGAGAGCCAGGTCTTCCTTTTGTTTGGTTAGCTTTATAGTTTGAGTTCACAATTCACTCTGCTTTTTCTGGGGTTTTGTTCAGATGGGAGTCCTCTCCTTTTGAGGCTTATCAGCGAGTATCAATAGGAGGCTCGTGGTGGTGTTGTTGTTTTAGGTGGCAGTGAACGTGGGTAGAGCTTCCCTTGTTTCCTTTTCCCCTACATCGGCTCGGGAGCACCTCCGTGGATGTGGGGGGGCAGCCAGCTTCTGGTTGTCTTTCCACTCTGCTGGTTTTGTGTGCATAAAAACCCACCACATGTGACTGCACGAAGACTAGGGGCCAGTTAGTTAGTTTTTTTTTGGAGAATAGTGGGGTGTGGCTCCTGTCCTTAAACCCAGACTGGCAGTAGGTGAATTGTGTACATTTTTTTTTTTCCCTCAGAGTTGGTAATAGTTGTATTGGTTGAGGAGAATGTCTTCTATTCTAAGTGGTTTTGTTCAAACTCCTTCAGAGGTAGCTTTGGAATTGTGTACTAAGGAGCAGTTAATTGAAATTGCTGACCATTATAAGATTGAGATTGATGATGGAAAACTTAAAGAGTCTGTCAAAGCTAGATTAAAGCAGGGTCTTAGAGAAATAGGTGTTCTTTGGGATAACTCTGTTAGTGAGGGTGCAAGTTTTCAGTCTAGCCCTTCATTAACTTTTGAGCAGCAGCGGGAGCTGTTGCAAATGCAGTTAGAGATAGCACGATTGCGGAATGTCAATAGACCAGAAGGAGTACAACAGTTTGACGTTTCACAGAATCTTCGTTTGTTGCCTAAATTTGATGAGTCAGATCCAGACACATACTTTACGCTATTTGATCGTATTGCAGAAGCTAGAGCTTGGTCAGATCTGGACATGACTATGTTGTTGCAATGTGCACTTACAGGTAAGGCACGTGAGGCTTTTTCAGCACTGCGTGTAGCTGACAGTAAAGTTTATGCTAAAGTTAAATCAGCAGTTCTGAAGGTCTACGAGCTCGTACCAGAGGCATATCGTCAACGTTTTCGTTACAGGAAGAAACAAGATTCGCAGACTTATTCTGAATTTGTTCGCGATTTGACTTCTGCATTTAATCGTTGGTGTACAGCTTCTGAAGCTAGTACTTTTGAGGATCTGTCTAACTTGATCGTGTTAGAACAGTTCAAAAACTCTGTATCTGACCAGGTTGCTACATACATTAATGAGCGAAAAGTTAAGTCGCCAAGTGATGCAGCAGTCCTTGCAGATGAGCACAGGTTAACCCATAAAAGCCATTTTGAGTCAAATAGTGATATGCACTTTAAAAACTTTACTCCTAGGAATAGTAAGTCACCTTTTTCTGGAGCTTCGTTCCAAAGGCCACAGAAGTTTGGTTTTGGGGGACCTAAAGCACCATTAAAAGATAATACCTGTCGCTACTGTTTAGTTGAAGGACATTGGAAGAAAGATTGTCCGTTACTTGGATCAAAGAAGTTAGCTCAAGCTAAACCGGCTGTGATGGCCGTTTCTGGTACAGCCTCTGACCATCAGGGTGAGTTTTTTCAGCCAAAAGTTGAGTTTGGTTCTCAATCTCACCAAGGTGACTTTTCAGCTTTTGTTTCGGATGGTGTGGTGTCGCTGGTAGATGGCAACCACAATGTTCCAATTAGGATCTTGAGAGACACTGGAGCTTTGGATTCTTTTATTTTGGAGTCCATTTTGCCTTTCTCTAAAGGTGTCTGATACTGGCAGTTGTGTAATGGTACGTGGCATGGGTTTAGTTCCATTCTCTTCCCCTTTACATGTAGTAACTCTAAAATGTGGTCTGGTAGCGGGTGATGTAGCGGTTGGGGTTAGACCCCAGTTGCCAGTAGAGGGAATACACATGATTCTGGGGAATGACTTGGCAGGTAGTAAGGTGTGGGCGGATGGCAAAATAAACATCTTTAAGAAGCAACCTTCAGTGCCCCCTGCAAAGGTATCTCCAGAATACAGTTGTGTGTCTCCTGAGGTATTTCCAGGGTGTGCTGTTACCCGCTCTGCCGCACTCAAGAAGATTGAGAGTAAGCCAGAAAGTCTTGAGTTGCCAGTTAAACTCCAAACTGAACAGTTAACTAGTTCTAGAGAGTCATTGATAGCTGAGCAAAAGGCCGATACTACCTTAACTGATCTGTTTGATAGAGTTGTTCCTGAGGCAGCGGTGAGGAATAATGCTCAGTGCTATTTTCTTCTTGAGGGACTGTTGGTCAGGAAATGGGTTCCACACTCTGTTCAGGGTCTAGGCGAACCAGTTTTTCAGATAGTTGTACCTACTGTTTTGCGAAACAAAGTGTTGCAAACTTCACATGGTGAGGTGGCAGGTCACATGGGTGTTCGTAAAACTTATGATCGCATACTCAGGCATTTTTTCTGGCCTCGTTTAAAGCGAGCTGTAGCTCAGTTTATTAAAACTTGTCCTACGTGTCAGCGCACAAGCAAGCCAAACCAGGTTGTGAAGCCAGCTCCTTTGTATCCAATACCAGCCATAGGACAACCTTTTGAGCATCTTATTATCGATTGTTTTGGGCCTTTACCACGGTCTAAGTCAGGTCATAACTACTTATTAACTGTTATGTGTCACGCAACGAGATATCCGGCAGCTTTTCCCTTGCGTACCATAACTTCAAAAGCAGTAGTTAAAGCATTAACTCAATTCATTTCTACATTTGGAATTCCAAAAATCATCCAGTCAGATCGGGGTTCTAACTTTACCTCCCATTTATTTGCTCAGGTTCTCAAACAGCTAAAAGTTAAACACAACAAGTCTACTGCGTTCCATGCCCAGAGCCAGGGAGCTTTGGAACGATTTCACCAAACTTTAAAATCTTTGCTTCGTTCGTACTGTACAGAACTGTCTGCAGATTGGGAGGAGGGGTTACCTTGGTTACTACTATCTGCTCGTGAGGTAGTACAGGAGAGCACAGGGTTCAGCCCAAATGATTTGGTGTTTGGTCATAAGGTACGGGGGCCTTTAGCAGTGCTGCAGGATGGTTGTTTGCCTGAAGAACCACCTCGGAACCTCATTGACTATGTAAATGGATTTAGGCTGAAGTTGTATAGAGCTGGAGAACTGGTGAAAGAAAAGCTAAAATGTTCTCAAAAGAAAATGAAATTGAGATATGACCGACAGGCGGAGTTGCGTGAGTTTACTCCCGGTGATCGTGTACTTGCTCTTTTGCCTCTTGTAAGTTCACCTTTTCAGGCGAAATACTGTGGTCCTTTTAATGTGTTGCGCAAAGTGTCAGATTTGAACTATCTTATTGAAACTCCGGGGTATAGGAAGTCCTCTAAATTATGCCATGTGAACCTGTTAAAATGTTATCACTCCCGTGATCAAAGCAAAGTGGAGGGCACTCGAGTAGTGAAGTCAGCGTTGACTGCTGCTCCAGTCACTGTATCTTCTGGCTTAAACTTTGTGGATGGGGGAGAGGAGGAGGTCATTAGGGTTTC